TAAAAGTCTCCAAGACCTGAATGACTGTATGAGAGAGAGAGACACACACAGAGAGAGAGGGAGAGGAGTGTGTGTGCGTGTGTGTCTCAGTGCCTCTGTGTGTTTATCAACATCACTAATGAGCTCATATAAACACCTGTGTGCTTGGGTGCATGTTGGTGATTGGAGCACCTGTGTGTTAGAGGCTAACTAGAAAATTCCTAAAGAAATTTTGACAGTGTGGCTTCTGCTGCCCAAAGAAATCACAATATATACACACGCCAATGTTACCGGTAGTGTCATTCAGGTTCAATTGAGATAGCGCTACTCTCTTTTCTGAATTTTAGATTCATACTCTTGGATTGAATCTTGTATTTGAAATGGGGGGGGTGAGAGTGGAAAAGTCCTCTAAAAATATCTAAGACCTGAATGACTGTATGATGGAGAGAGAGACAGACAGAAAGGAGAGAGAGACAGAGTGAGTGAGTGAGACAGGCAGACAGACAGTTAGATGGACTGAGTGAGTTTGAGAGAGAGACAGGCAGACAGACAGTTATATGGACTGAGTGGGTGGGAGAGAGAGACAGGCAGATAGACAGTTAGATGGACTGAGTGAGTGAGTGAGACAGGCAGACAGGAGTCCTCTAAAAGTCTCCAAGACCTGAATGATTGTATGAGAGAGAGACACACACAGAGAGAGAGAGACAGACAGAGAGATAGAGGGAGAGGAGTGTATGTGCGTGTGTGTCTCAGTGCCTCTGTGTGTTTATCAACATCACTAATGAGCTCATATAAACACCTGTGTGCTTGGGTGCATGTTGGTGATTGGAGCACCTGTGTGTTAGAGGCTAATTAAGAAAGAGCGTGAACAGTGATTTTCAACAAAACTACCTGTCAAACATATGCCCTTCATACCAAACCATGAGACTAATCAATAAAATTTAGATACCGTGAGAGAGATAAGACTCTGGCAAACGCGGAGATGTGTTTTTTATGTTTGTGGTCTTAAAAATGTGAGCTCGAGCGCAATATGCAAAACTGGTACCGTCTGCTTTCTTTGAGAAATGAGTGGTCAGATTTAACATGGAGTCTAATGGAGCAGTTGGTTGGAGTTCATGTCGCTCTGTGGCTCTTTGAGCCAACTGTGTAAGTCTGTTGGATTCCACAGACATCTGTGTGCGACAGCACAACATTTCCCAGTTTTTGGCCAAAAATGGTGTATAAAGAGTAAAAATTGGCATGTGTATATATTACAATTTCTTCGGGCAGTAGAAGCCACACTGTCAAAATTTCTTTAGGAATTTTCTAGTTATTATTAAGCCCGATGGATAATATACAGTGTGCTTTGGCACAGGCAGTTTTACTGCCTTGTGCCACAAAGCCACACTGAATAAAACATTATGGGAATATCCAGGAAGACAAGATGATCTCATCCCTACTTGGCATATTTTGCCACCTCGGCAGAAACAAGGCTGCCCCTGGCTCAATTATAGTGATACTCAGGGCAGCCTTTTGCGTAGTATCTTGCTGCTGATGGTTTATACGTGGTCAATGTTGTGAAATGGCTGTGATTAACGTTATAACATGTGGTTAATATAGTTAGGGTTAGGAACATCATGGTTTGGCCTAAAATAGGTAAGCTTGTAACGTAAGATCATGTGACTCAGTGCTAGAGCACCACGTGACAGAATGTCACAGAACATGGTACAATGGGGCAGAATGTCGACTGACATAATTTCCTTTGGTTTCACAAGAGGCATGAACACTGGTCCCCAGATTAGAAGTACTGTTTTGACTCATTCACCAATTCTCCATCCCACTCTCAGAGGACTTCTCGCAATCAAAACTACATTCATTGCTCTGCATGTCTAATAATGACGCAGATGGTTTTTATATGGTAGGTAGTTGAAAGTGTGGTTCGTCTCATACAGACGCTAAAGCGGGCCTTGTGCGCCTATATCATGATGCTGCGGGATACTGCCCAAGCATCGGTATTTGACGCCCTGGGAGTGAGACCAGGCCATGGAAGATGCTGAGGGCAGAAACAGCTGATCAGTCATGTTCCCCAGTCATGTGTGTGCTAAATGTTTGCTATGTCAGAACTTTTTTGTTAACGGTTTCCGTAACCCATTCAGGGCATAAACTATTTTTAAAAAACAAAAATAAAACACCTCCAATTAGCGCAAAAACTTTTTGCACGATTGGGGAAAGTTTATTGATTTTTCTGTTTTGATACAGCAGGCAATACTTTAAAAAACTATGTGAATGGAAACACAGGTACTGTAGAAACGCAGCAGCAAAAGGTGAAAGGTGGAGGAGGAAAAGACAATGTGAACCTACTGGACTCCTTTTCCTCTGGTTCCTCTTCCTGAAGGCCAGGGTACTCAAACGCATCATCGTCCCCACAACCTACACATACACACACACACACACACACACACACACACATAAACAGTGATTCAACTTTTTTTGTCATTACTGAGACAACAATATGCCGTTGCAGTTGCATCTAGCTAGAAGTGCCAAAACTGTGGTGCAAGGTGACAGATGAGGGGAAGAAGCTGCAATGAGCCTGCTGGTCCTGGAACTGAGAGTTCGGTAGAGATATTCATTAAAATGATGGCCTCCAGTTGCTTGTGTTGGACAGCCTCGGTGTGGGAGAGTAAATGGTAAATGGAATTGTCCTTTTATAGCGCCTTTCTAGTCTTCTGAACACTCAAAGTGCTTTAACACTACATGTTCATTCAGGAACGTGCCCTCAGGAAGAGGAGATGGTTGTGTGCCTTCAGGGTCAATGTGTTGAGGGTCCAAGAAAGGTCCTTGGAGACACAGACACCCAGAAACTTTAAGCTGGCGACATGCTTAACCTCTGTTCTGTTGATGTTAATTAATCCTGCACAGTGCACACAGGGACTGGTAAACATGGTCCAAGGTGTTTTCCCCTCTAGTGTGGCAGGAGACATGATGGTGGAATTTCGGGAGTGCAATCTTCCGGTTCAAGTGGTTGAAGTCACCTGTAACAATAAAGGCTGCCTCCAGATGTGAAGTCTGTTTTTGGCTTTTGGCAGCATGTGGTTCTTAAAGCTTAGCATTTGATTCTAACAGGATATATTTTGTAGTCAATGTATACTAGGCAGATAGAAAGGTTGTCACTTAACCATGAGATATTCCAGGTTAGAAGAGCAATGACTCTTGATAGGAGCAGTGTTTGTGCACCACACTTTGTTAGCATAAATGCACAGTCCCCCACCTCTGGTCTAACTGGTGTCATCCGCTATTCTATCTGCCTGGAGGATGTAGTGCCAAAATCATAATGTTGCAGTCCATAATCCTTTTGTGAGTAATGATCAGAAGCCGCAGCACATCAAACAAATTGATTAGTGATGCAGCCTGTGAGAGAACTGATATTACTCTTCTTCCTACATCAATATATTACAACTCATTGCCTCACAAGCTACACATTATTGTAGACTTACAAGGTTCAAAGTGTCATTCTACAACACAGGGTTGCACAACAAAAGTAAACTGTCCGCCAAAAGCGTTTTGTTGGCGTGGAACACTTGTCAAATACAATAGCTTGATCCGAGCTGTTAGTCAGGTATCTGTAAAGATGTGGGCAAAGCAGTCTCTGATTTCCCAATACTGAGTTAGCCTGAGGGTTATTTCATTCAATTTATCGTTCTTTGACCGAACATTAGCCAGGAGTAGGCTGGGTAGTGGAATACCCTTAGGTCCAAAGTGGGTTAGCTTAGCTCTTATCGGGGCTCTCGTCCCTCTCTTGCTGCGGCTGTCACGCTGCTTTGGTTAGCGTTTGGTCCAGTTGGGTTGGCTGGGTAGATGTTGTGGGCATCTCAAGGACACTTAATCCAATCCCTGCACTTCCTTTTCCTGGTGTCAATAGGTATATTTCTGTCATGGGCAATATATGCTTCAGATATGGTAGATAAAGGTGAAAAGTTAAATTAATACAAAACTGTCAAGAACTTTTTGAGAGCAACTAGCCACTGCATGCTCCATCACCATAGTAATAGAAAAAGGATGTAAGAATATCTAACCAATGGCAGAAAAAGCCTCCTGTTGTGAATCCACTCTTCCTTCTGTCTCTTTCTCTTTTCTCTCAATCCTCCTCAACTGTCGTTGGTGTCTCTGACGTTCTTTCAAAGCTGTTTTCACACTGGTCACCCATGCCAGGTACGCCAACTGAGGGGGAAAACAAAACAAAATCAACAATACAATAAACATAATAACTTTTTACACAGCTTGTTATCATAGCAGTGTTAAATATTTCAAACATTTTAATACAACAACTGCAACTATATGCAGTATATAATATTATTTAAAACCAGATATTGTGGACATGTGACTCCACTGGACACAGCTTTACACAACTGTCTGCTGCAGCATTAGAACTGGTGATGGACTGTCTATGGTCATGTTGTAGCCCTAGAGGTGTGTTTGTCCACAAACTCTGTGATGAAGGTTACGATATTGGAACCCTTGTTCTAAGCACCGGCGGAGCCCTCTACTGGACTCTATGGGTAATACTTAAATTACAAATATAAGCTAGCCAATCAGATCATGCAAACCCGAATACTTGACGACCCCACAGTATAAAGGGCAACACACACCCCACTCTTTTCACAAGTCCTGTGTCTTTCCAGTGTGCACAGACCCTGAAATGGAGCCTAACATGTCCAAGAGATGCCGCCGTACATTTGTAGTTGACACTCACCAAACAAGGTTTGCTCCCCTTCCAGTTGATCGTGATCCCCAGCTTGGTTAGCTGTAAGATCAACTGGGCTGTGTGAAACATAGCCCATTCTTTTGACTGAGCTATGACGACAAGTTCTTTGAGATAAATGAAGACCCTTACGCCTCAGTCACGCAGCAGTTGTCCACACATCTGCGAATGGCGCTGCGGGACATAGCCGAATGGCAGTCTGTGGGCCAGAGACTTTACCCTGGAAGGTGAAATGCAAGAACATCCTGTGTTTTTAAGCCACCTCGACCTGAAAGTATGCAACTTGAAGTCAACAGCTGTGATATCCTGTCTCAGACCTCAGAGCCTCCAGACCTTCCATAAACGTAAGGCTGGCCCATGGGAGACCGAATTAGAAAAGTCCACCAATGCAACGTTTCCAGCTCAACGGCAAATATATTATTCACAGCTAATATATCAGATGAGGTGTGCTTTCTGACATCATGCCGATTATAGCACTGTGCCACCAGCTGTGACCACTTACACTGGCGTGATCGTCCAGGCTCACTGCCTCCTTCACCAGAGGTGGGGAATGGCTTTGACACTGGGCAGCCAGTAAACGTCATATTTGGTTTGGGCCAAGTTTATTAATGAGATGCCATAAAGAGCCATGGAGGTGGAGAGGGGAAAGGAATATGCTCTTTGAGAAATGTAAATAGTTTAAATCTAAACTTTTTTCACAGTTTTAAAAGTATAAAACACATTGACAACATCAACTTTATTAACAGCATCAACAGAAATGAAAGAGGGGGCGGAAAACCATAGTGCAGGTAGTGGTAGCAAAACATGTTCCACCACAGTGGTCATCACTAACAGGAAGGGGGCGAGGAGGCTGGTGGCTGCTGAAAACCTCTCTCCTCGTGGTCCATGCCTAGGCACTCAATGTAGGCATCATAAAGACCGTCTCGGCGAAAAGGCTGGAACTTGCCGGGCACTGACGAGGTTCTTAAAGGGATGACTCCGTCAATGGAGGTTGTCAGTGGGCCAATTGCCCTTTCTGCATTATATACTGTGGGGTCTGCACGTATTTGGGTAGGCACGTCATGATTGGCCAGCTACGCTTTAAACAAATTTTCAAAGTGCATGATGGTAGAGTATTACCCATAGAGTCCAGTGGAGAGCGGAGCCTGTGCAATTAAGAACTTGGCATCCATGATGGCAAACATATAAATATAACACTGACTCCCATAGAAAGGGTAATGATATAAAGTACATTTTGTGAAATAGTTGTGTCTGACCTCACAGGCAGTCTGTTTTTGAGGCTTCTGTTCTTCAGAGTCCTCTTCATCCTCACTGTCTGATTCAAACAGGTAGTACTCTCCTGAGTGGAGCACTGTGAATGGAAGAAACATATTACAATGTCCTCTAACTCACTATATATATATATTGCCTGATGTTATATGAGAAGGACTACCTCAGTCTTACAGTATGTTTTTCACCTATAAGTGACTTGAGTGTTTGCCATACCTGTAGCATGGTCCAGCCACGGCTGGGACCAATTTTTCTTCCTGGAACTCTTCTTGTCTGTCTGGGTCTCTGGAACAAACGAGAATATTTAGATTGGTAGAGGTACTGCACAGCACAAAGGTTAAGTTTATGTTTTAAGTTTTAAAACATAAACGTAACCTGAGGGAGGCGCTAGAGTAAAGGCCATGGGATCATTGAATTAAATGGTTCATCTTTATGGAAATGTGAATGTGCCCATGTGATTTCATGGCATATTGCCTATAAGATTAGCAAGACAAATATAATAGGGGGATACTAATCAATTTGTTTACCTTTCAAAAATAAAGTGGCAGTTTGTGAGTCTCTCAGTTTGCTTTGGAGTTTAGTAGGAACAAATTGATTAATGCAGCTTTCCGTAAAATTATTAGCAGTAAAATGCACTCAACTAACAATTTGTGGTAATCTTTGTGAAGAACAATACGGTTTAGTTCACATAAAATCCTTATTTCGCATTTTTTTGGTATTTTGATGTCCTAACTCACACAGGCTCCATCATATACTGGACTCTATGGATAATACTCTCCTCCAATCATGAGTATGCATTCACCCACTGAAAATTTGCATAAGCATAGCCAAGCAATCAGGACATACCTACCCAAATACATGCGACCCCACAGTATATAAGGCAACACACCCCGCTGCCAAACTATCCTTCTTTTCCTTCAGCAAACGGTGAAAAAATGAAACAAAAATTTGCCCTCTGACTGCTTATCTCCACGGATGGAATCGCCACTTCAAGGACCTCGTCAGTTCCTGTTATGTACTGGCATTTTCGCTGGGACCGATCTCCATGACACCTACTTCGAATGCCATGACACTGACCACGCAGAGAGCACTGTTCAGCAGCTAACATCCTCCCTGGCCTGCCGAGCGCTGCCCAAGATTCAATGCCAGCAGCAGGTATATCACTTCCGATGCTTCGATGTTGTGCCTTGATGTGATTCTTCATTGTGATGAGAGTAAGCAGGAGCTCAAAATTTACGCCGTCAAAGTCCCTGTTGAGGCATCAGCTCAGCATGGTTGGATGCTAGGAGGCACAAGCGGTGCTTGGTTGGCATACCCCCTCCCTGGTGGGTGAGGAGGCTCCTGCCTGGGTATATATATACCCAGATGACTGATGGAGAACCGACACATCAACCTCTTTGAGCTACAGGCAGTGTCCTTGGGCAGGGTCCTTGGTCCTCAAACACTTTAGGACCCTAATACAGGGGTGAGAGTAAGGTGGACGCCTTTGCACAATTACCATGGTCAAGTCAGCCATGATCTTAGAGAAATCTCATCCCTTCCCTGTTGGACAGAGTGAGGCAAGAGCCGTCATTGGTCATTCTAGTAGCCTCAGGTCACCGGTATGCATACATGACTCAGCCCTGGAGAGTCTCCCAGTTCTGGGGGGCTCTATCTCAGTAGGAAGGTGCATCTGGGCTGTTCTCTCCAGGCTTGGTTCCTGAGAGGAACAAGCTCAGGGGGGCTGGACTGTCTGTACAGGCAGCAAGAGCAGGATCCAGCAATGCTTGTCTCCCTTTTGCAGAGATGGTGGAGAGAGAGCTTTCTCATGGCACTGTGTATGCAGCAGCCATTTCTTCGTGCCCCCCAGGTTTTGGCGACAGAACGGTCTTTGGTCACCTTCCTGTGAAGAGTCTCTTAAAAGGGGAGAGGGGAAAGCGCCCGGTGATGCGTGCCTCCTCCGCTCAGTAGGGACTGCCATTGGTGCTGGAGACCTTGGTGAAGGGTCTCTTTGAGCATCTAGAATGTTCTTCTCTGAAGGCATTGTTGCACTGACCTCAGCTAAGTGAGTGTGTGAACTAACTGCTCTGTTGCTGCACCCTAGTTGTGTCTTGTTTACCGTAGCATGGCTACCCTCACACCAGGGTTATACAGCTGTTGAACTCAAGGCCACATCAGACACACTGAACTGTGCACATTTGTGTGCTTTGAAAAATAAAGGTGACCTTGCCTTTGCCATCAGGGCTCCTCAGCTTTGGAACGAGTTGCCTGAGGAGATAAGGCTTGCAGAATCAGTAATCTCTTTTAAATCACTTCTTAAAACACATTTTTACAGACTGGCTTTCAAATGATGTCGTTGCTTTCCTGTTCTAATTCTGTTTTCATTTGTTGATTTGACTAAATTATTTTAATAAATGCAGTTGCACTCGATTGTTCGGCCCCAATTGCGGGTTGGGTTTGTTGGCGGGATTTGGAGGCTTTTGGCTGTTTTTCGGTGAACAGCTCGGACGGGAGCAGTTTGAGTGGCTGGGCACGGCTGATGTTGCAGGTGGTTTCTGCGGGTTCGGCGCTGAGTGCCGCTTTCGGTGACTGCTGTGGTCTCTGAGTTGTTCGGTCCCTTCATGACGGGCGTCTTTGGTGCTTGGTGGAGCACCCTTTTACTGTTGTGGGTTCTAGTGGTGTTCGTGGGGGATCTTAGCCCATTAGGCTGAGATTCCTCGGGGGCGCTGTCGGGGCCTGGTGTCTGGCTGTGCGTCGCGTTTGCATCGGGTCGTGGCAGCAGAGGGGTGCTCTGCCGGGTACTGGAGGTGCTTGTCATGGGGGGGTTGAGTGGTTTTGGGACTGCGGTGTTCATTGGTGGTGGCACTTTGTGTTGGATTTGGGGAGACCGCTTGTGGCATTGGTTGTGTTGAGCTATTTGGGTTGTCCTTGTTTGGGTTGTTTTTTGGGAGCGGCTGGGGGTTTGTAGATTTTGCGGATGGACCTGATTTGAGGTGGGGGTTGAAATATTTTGAGTGCAACTGTATATGTGTGTATGTATGTGTATGTGTATGTATATATGTAGTATGTATGTGTATGTGTGTATATGTATATTTGTATATATGTATGTATATGTATATATATATATTTCTATTTTATTGATTATTTTATTTCATTAATTTCTTAGTTTATTTTTAAGGTATCCATCGATCTCACTGAACTTTCTGTTTCTACTATTGCCTTGTTTTTGCTGCTTTGACTGTCAAAGTACTTTGTGAACTCTGTTTTTAAAGGTGCTATATAAATAAAGTTATTATTATTATTATTATTACCCATAGAGTCCATTAGAGGGCTCTGCGCATATAAATCTAGGTTACAATATCGTAAACTAAATTTTCAGATCAGTTGAAGAAATAATTTAGGAGAAATATAAATACATTTGATGAGTGATTCACTTCAGTGCAGGGTTTCAAAATGGCACTGATTGAGACCTGAAGGAAGCTTCATCTGCAGCTAAAAACAAGCAGTTGTGGTACACATGTTTACTGTGCTTGCTTAGTTTTCTAAGTTTTCCAACAGTTTGACGAATATTTTTGCAGTCAACCAGTCCTACCAGCATTCTGACTCTCGTTAGAATCTTCATTTGTTTTGTGTCCATCCCTGTACTTCTGCTGCTTCGAGCGAATTCTCTGCATCCTGAGAGAACATGACAGAAAAAGGGAGGGCAAAAGACAGAATAATTTAACTTTAACTCTCTTTTGAAATTAACTCATAATATTTGCTGTGGGCTAATGTAAAGCCCTGTATTCTATACCTACCTGGTGTATGGTATATTTATACAGGGCACAGTTATCGTCAAAGGTGGAAAACAAAACTAACTGAAAACACTTAAAATGCATAAATCTCACGATTGCATGGCCTATTGTTCACACAAATGTAACTTCACCACCTCCGATGAAGTGCTTTTCAGTGGGAAGCATTCCGGAGGAGAGAGACGGTCCTGAACAGAGCAAAAGTGTCTGTAAGCGAGGACGACGCATAGAGAGAAAGTGATACAGAACTAATGGTCAAAGGAAAGACCCCACATTGCATGTCAATATAACATAGGCTACAGTAGCGTATGGACTGTTAGTAAATACTAACGCAACATATTCTATTATGACTTTATTCTCAAAATGTCAATTATTTAAGTAATTTTCTAACTCCGTCGTAAATGACAGACTAGAATTCCGTTTGTCTTGTCCTCTCTGTAATTTGCACTCCCTCCTGCCCTGCAGTAACTGTTCCTACAGTATCCCTCACCTGACCTTCCCTTCTCCACTCGCTCCTAGGCAGATTATCATAGTTGCTTCGTTGCTTCATGCCTTTGCTTCTGAGCCTCAGATCCCTGAAACCTGTACCTGTATCTGTACTTGCCTGCAAGTCACCAGTGGGCTCTTTTACTTTTGTTTCGACTTCATACCCATAGCAATAAGCCTATGTATATATACACCTTTTCATGAAATAAAAAAAATAAATACTTAAACTTAAAAATGCAACCTGTGTGCATTTTGTATTTTTGCATATCTACATTTATGAAGCCAGAAATTTGTGAAATTTATGATTGATTCTTCCGTCCAGAAGGGGGAGGCGCATACAGTAGAAACAGCTGTTTGCGGCTTGCAACTCTCTCTCTCTCTAGCAATTGTATATCACTTTCATCTCTTTTCTGATGTGAGATACCGTGAGGTAAATCTTAAGCTTAGTTTACAGTTGTTTTGAAGCCAGCGCGAGGCTTCAAAACGAAGCCTCGCGCCTGAGTAAACATAACTTACATCAAATAAATCACTTCACCTAACTTCTGAACATTACACCTTTGATTCTTTAGGGAGGCTAGTGTCATGTTTATTCTAGTGCTGCCAACTCTCAGGTAATTGACTCATTTCATACGCTCTCACACGTCACACCACACGTCCATTTTCTCATGCACAGAAGTGCGTTGAGAGTGTGCAAAATCCACTTAGCAATTTTGTGGCCAGGCTTCCTCCGAGGAAATGTGGTCCACAGGGTGGATCTGAAATAATGCATTATTAGAGGTGGGTGCATTAGAGGCTGTGACAATCATGGCTTATCACAAGCGGCCGTCAGTCTGTCTATCTACCTGCAGCAGGTTGGATAAGCAGATAACTTATCTATACAAACTTATACAAACGTTTGTGCTTATCAAGTACATGTTAAGATATTTCATTGGATAAGTGAGAAGTTTGTGGTGGGGGCACCATGGATATCGATACCAAATTTCAGGGCTAACCATGCATTAGTTCTTTAGATCTTTCACTAAACACCAAAAATGTCAACCTCATTGGGGCTCAAGAGGAAAAATCAGAGGATCACCAAAATCAGTAGGATTCATCCCCTGGGAAACATGACTGTCTGTACAAAATTACAAAATGTAAAAAAAATAATTGCAAAGAGGTGAACGGACAAGACTATTAACATTGCCGTCCCTAGAGCCTTCACCTACAATCAGCTTGTGTTGAACGCAGCTGAATTTCATCATCCAGCTTTCCATCTTACTTGTTCTTTGATGTACCATTACAATATTACTCCCAAAACAAATTTGATCAGCTGTACTGTACTGTGAACACTTACGATCTCTTGAGCTGTGACAGAGATTTCCTCTCAATTTGTTGGTGGAACTTAATGTTTTTCACGATACTGGCTCTGAAGAGTTCAAACCCCCTGGAAAGAAGAAACGTCTGTCAATGCATTTGTCAACAAGTAACTGTCATTAGGAAGTAGCTGGGGAGCCAATATCGATAGCAGCTTCATTTGAATTAACAAAAAGTGTGTTGAATTAATCTAGTCCGTACATTTGGGATCTGTCAACAGGAGTAATACCTGTTCTTGAAATTAGCATTTTTAATGTTCATATTTTCATTGGGTACCTGTGATCTGAAGGGAACTAATAACCTGATGTGGTTTTCACTGAAGCTGTTGCAAACATCATTAACTGTCTATGGTGAAAGTAAAAAAGATACTACAATTATGATAACATTTTTACCTCTTATTCATCTCCTTGAAAATGTTCACATTATATTGTCTTACAACATTAAATCAAAGTAGATCTAATGTGACATTAAAAATGTGGAAATTGTAGACCAAACATGATTCAACATGATGATTGATTGTGTGTCGTTTTTGAAGCGAGTGAATATGTGCTTATGCAAAGATGTAGTTAGTATTGACTTTTTGTAATTAATTACGATCACTTTGAAGAGATGTCGGTTTACACTTTGATGTTAGATGTACGTAGATGTAGATGTAGATGTTGTTTGAGCAGTGTCAACAAAGAAACATTAAATCTACTTGGATTCAGTGTTAAACAATAAAACCCAAATACTTTCATATTTTATATATTATATTTAGGCACTGTACACACAGGACAATAAAAGTCACCTTATCTTGTTAAATTGACAGTTAAGTCAAATCTGAGCTAACTCATTTCTGAAGAAGACAAGTGAAGTGAAATGCAATTGAAAGCCCTGGGAAAATAGTGGAATAATTGGTGGATCTTTAAGCTTGGACTTTTTTTGTTACATACTGTATATACTGTCCACAAAGTTCAAGAATAAACGTAAATGTTCAAATGCATCATTCATCATATATTCATTCTAAACTTTTTGGTTTGTGAAACATTAAAATTAAATCATATTTTCTTTGTCTATTTTTTCGCCTGAACACAGTTTAGGACCTTGGAGAAAGATCTGAGAAAGGATTCTTTAGATTGTTTTAGTTGAAGTACGCAATTAATGTGTAACAGACATTTATTTTGCTTTGATATATATATATATATCGTATCATCATAATATCTGGTGAATAATAGCATTGGAACAACTGCATTAGCTCACTCATTCATTCAGTTCATTGTCTTACCTCGAGGCCTGTTTGGCAGAAGCCTGCAGCTCTGCCATCACATGCAGGAAGTAGAAACTGAGGAAGACCCTCCTCTGCAGCAACAGGCAGAGAAAACAGATACCGTCCCAGATGATCCCAGCCTCTTCTACTGGGAGGCTGCAGGTCTTGTCACTCACTGCTTTTGCTGTTATCAAAAAACAAACAAACACGATGACACACACCAAGATAAAAAGGCATTCTGTAGAATTGTAAATGCTTCTGTCAGGTGTGAATGCAATTTTATAGATAAAAAAAGCCATCTAATATAGAAAGCTTCAGTTTCAAACTCGTCGGAAAAGGGGATTTTCTTTTCTTCTACTGTTAAATACCAAATCACTTGTCCTTCTTAAACATCCCAAGATATACAGTATGAAACCAAATGCAATAATACATCACCTTTGCTTAATAACATAGATACTATTCCTAATGGCCATGGTGTATTTTTTAAGCACTTACGGTCATAGTATCCTTTGACCGTGCAAACCAGGCTGAAGAGTTGAATCACCCAACAGAAGCCCTTCTGCATCTCAAACACAAACACACATGCCAGGATCTGAAACACACACACACAAACACACACACACACACACACACACACACAGACAGACACAGAGAGAGAGGCAGAGAAATACAAAATTCAGTGAGAAAAGTTTGAGGCAGTCCTTAGAACACCTGAAGACCTCCTTAAGGCCTACTCACAATCGGTTAAATGCTGAAGGAAATTTGCCTAGTTATCATTTGATGGCTGTTGAGTTTGTCATCAAGCTCAGAGACCTAGAGCTCAACATCACCCTCTGTGATTGGATCCTGAGCTTCCTGATGGGCAGACCCCATGCTGTGTGGATAGGCACCCCCACTTACTCCACCCTGACTCTCAACACTGGAGCCCCACAGGGATGCGGTCTCATCACTCTCCTGTACTCCCTATCCATGCATGACTGCACCATCCACAGCTCCAACACCATCAAGTTGAAAAAGTCAATTCAAGTCAAAAAGATACGACCGTCACAGACATAATCACAGACAGCGACGAAACGGCCTTCAGAGAGGAGGTGAAACCCCTGACATCTATTAGCCAGGGCAACATCCTAACTCTCAATGTCAAAAGAACTAAGAAGGTTATTGTGGATGACAGGAGGCGACAGAGAGAAGGACACGTCCACATCTGGTGGAGAGAGTAAGCATCTTCAGGATACTCAGCTGTCACTTCAGCGAAGACCTGACCTGGACTCACCACACAGACGGGATCTCGAAGACAGCGAAACAACAGCTCTTTTTTCTCCCCCTGCTGAGGAGTCTCCAAATGGACTCCAGGATATTCTGCAACATATATAGGTGCACCATTCAGAGTATCCTGACCGGCTGCCTCACCACCTGGTATGGCATTTGTACTGCCGTTAACTGTGGTGCTACAGAGGGTTGTGAAAAATGCTCAGCACATCACCAGGACAGAGTTGCCATCCATGGACGACCTCTACACCCTGTGGTGCAGGAAGAAGGTCAACAGGATTATGAAGGACCCCAATCACCCCAGCCACAAACTATTTTTCCTCCTGCTGTCGTCCAGTAGATGGTACTGCAGCATCTGGTCTATAATGTCATCCATAGCAACGGGGTATCTCAGACCCCTCAAGAGTCGCTCTCAGCAACTTTATGAAAAAGGTCTTAGAAAGAATCGCTTTGTTAGTACCTTTTAGCCCGACTTGACAGGACTCTTGTCTCTTCACTTTGTGAATATGGCCCAAATTCTACAAATTAAATTAATGATGTTAACATTGCATGGTTGTGACGTATTTTGACATTTACCAGAGGGGAGGTTGCTGATCAATACCAGCGAGGCCAACATTCAACATCGGTAAAGCTGGTTTATACTTATTTACTTACATTATACTCATACCTGTGGCGTAGTATGATTCAAAGTTAAGCCTCAGATTTAATCTTTTATCACTGCAACACTTGACGGACGTAGTTAAAATATTTTTTTTATTATATTTCTTATTTTATTTAATTATATTCTAATTTAATAAAAGTTACATTTAGGTTATACATTTCAGTCAGAGTTGAGTGCAGCAGCACCATCTCAGTCAGAGCAAAGTCACAAATATTACTTTGCAAAAAAACACATTAGGTTAGTGGTTCACATTAGCGTTGACTTGCTGTCATATTAGCCATGTATATAAGGGTGGTCATGCAACAACATGTAACCGTCAGTCGCTGTATCCCTTTGTTTGGATTCTGTTGGGGATCTTTACAGACATATCTGCCCCCCTTTTTGATTGTTTCAACAATTGATTCATGTGTCTTTGACGTACATAGATAAACCTGAGCTTGACTCTGATATACCTAAGCTCAAAGCCTCATTTCTACTAATCATATGCAGGCACACACACACACACACACACCGAAAATTGCATTAAGAATGGCATGTACATCTGTAAGGACCACAACAAAGGAGCACCCCAAAAAGCTGCAAACTAGCACCAAATGATGAGTTTAGTACTTACAGATAACATATTTTTAGATACAATGACTGCCACGTTGTAGATGATGAGACAGTCCCACAGGGCAAGGCGGGTTCTGGATGATTTGACCAAAAGCCTGGTCCCAAACAGCAGGAAAAAGAAGCAAGCGAGCAGGTAGCCCAATCCAAACACAGAGATCCTCGTGGCGCCGGTGATGAAGACCACTGACAGCACAAACCAGAAGAGGTGACGAAACACCAAAACTTTAGCCATGTCCAGGTAACTCCTGGAGGAAGACAAGAAAAGAAACATTTCATGTCCAAACAATACAGATTTTATCGACAAACTGAGCGAGGAAAGTCAGAGCAAGACTAGGTGCTATTTAAAATGCAAGTCCAACTTCTTGTTTTTATTCAAAATTTCAAATTGCCATTTTGCTACTTAATACTAATTCAACCAACAGCTGAATAATGAAATCATTAGTCCAACCATACATCAGCTTGGCCAATATTCATATCAAATTTAGCTCATGGCAAAAATGTTGGTATCTGTCTGTATGTTGGTTATTAAGAAGAAAACTGCAGTACAATAATACCAGACATACAGTATGTATCTCCATTACATACATATCTACCAGAGAGCTAAAATCATATCTGGTTACAATGTTTATTATACTTCAGGGAACTTTATTATATTCCAGATTTGCTGTTTGTTTTATAGGCTGCATTTTCATATATTTAAATCTTATTTTTTGAATCCTAACTTACCGTTCCATACTATGTACAGGTAAATTAGACAGGCAGAGTGATGGCTAGACGGACAGACTTATGCTGTATTTACCTGCAGTTGATGAAATTGGGTGCAGGGTTAAATAGTCGACCTTCCATTGGTTCAGGGTCATCTGTGTTCTCTCCTGCAAGAACCATCCACTCCTCTGTGTGCTCACACTCAAACACCTTCCACTGCTGGGATGCACACATCAGCAGCACAAAGTCCGCTTTGGACACACAACAACACAATACATCATCATCATCACCATCAAAATTAATTAATTGGAGGAATTTGATTGTAACACTCTGTTGTTGTTACTCATTTCACACACATAACCCAGAAATACACACACACAGTGCATATAAACATGTATTAGTGGAAAGATGTCAAAGTGAGGGGGCTGCCACTTAGTCGGCGCTCCAAGCATTTGGGGGTTCTGTGCTTTGCTTGGGTCATACAATTACTAAGAATTTTCAAATAATGGCCAAGTGCCAGATAATAGTAATAATAATATGGGTATTTCAAGTTCAAACATTAAAGGTTAGTCACTTATAAAGACTAGCTAAACAACTTGGGGGAGGGGGGGGGGGGTAACATGGGGGGATTAATTACCTGTAAATTACCTGTTAAAAGGCACTCGGGAATTTATTTCTTCAATGGGCTACATTTACTTTCAGCACTGATTTGGGCATCCACATAAAAAGGTGGTACATTTTCCCTTTAAATGCAGCAACATTTACATTTCCACCACATTTTAACTAGATTCTGTTCTCTTTCGCTGATTAATTTCAAGTGCTCCTATTTTGCGTTCTTTCGTTCACTGTTCATAAGCTACTCAGTGAAACTCAACCCTTCCTAACGATGTATCACATGGAAAGTCAACAAGGACAAGGCAGAATTATGCCTGCTGACCCACTGGAAGGTTTTAAGTGTGCAACATCTGTACATTAGGTGCATTGCCAATAGCTTAACACATAAAAAAAATGTAGTGTTTGAAATTAATCAGTTCTACTGAGTGCAAATAGTACTTCTACTAAAAAGAGAGCACAGAATGACAGCGTAGGACATGGCTGTTGTACTAATGGAATTGGTGCTGTGAAAATGTACACTATACTGAATTTTTAAGACCACAGTAAACATTGAGGTAGTGTTGAGTTCAAACCGCAAACAGCATCAACAGCAAATTAAAACATGAACATATCAGAAAACACGGAGGGTTCCTACTAAAGTGTGATCAAACTGACATAACAGGTCTTTCACCAGTGCCACTATTTGAGAATATGGAGGATATGGAGAATATGCAGTATTATTCAGACAAGGTGACAATCTAACAGGTAGACTTGTTTGGTTGATACAGATAACGTATTGACACCGACAGGCACACGGATGCACACGCACACAAACACACACACAATATGCACACAAACTGACCTATGAGGTTTTTGGAGTTCGGCACAGTGTAGAAGTCAGGCAGGAAGATCCATTTAACGAGAGCTGAGTTAATCAACACTGGAGTGTTCCACCGCCATGGGTAGTCTACAACAACAGGAAGACAGATAGAAAGGTAAAAGTAGGTACTCTATTTACACGATGTCACAGAGAGAGAGAGAGAGAGAGCGAGAGAGGTACAGAGATATATACATACATACATGTACAACATTTCAATACTACGCAGAGAAGAAAAAGTATGTTGTGAATGATTGATCAATCAAAACAGAATCAGACAGATTATCACCTAATGATATAATATAATGCAGGAAGCAATGATAGTAAAATTATTTAATTTTCTGAATGTGAATTGCTGTTACAATAAAAACTTAGACCACACCTGGTTTAATCTAATGGTTTATTTAATGCCAACACTGTGAAATAATTTGTTTCTCTTGCTTTTTACTCACTATGAATATAATTACATACTGTAGTGTCAGCTTTGTATTCATTTCATAAAATATTGTAAATTAATTCTGTGGAGGAGCCCAAGTAAAGGTTGTGTGTGTGAGTTCATGTGGGTGTATGTTGGTAGATTATTGGGGTGCATGGGTTGCTTAAAAACATTTTCATCTACAAAACCAATGGATTATGGACATAAAAAACAGTATGTATGATATTTCACAGATGAAAGACATTCACTTCCAGAGAGTACAGGTGCTCTATCCGTACACCTACAATAGTAAAACACATAATTGTTGCCTTTTATAGTGTTATCTTTTGTTGCACTTAACTGCATATCAGGACTCACCTATACAGAGAGCAGGCGGTATGCCCACACACAGAAGATACTGGTAGATCATGAAGATGGACAGAAAGAGACAATATTTGGGCCAGATCCTGGCAATAGCTGCACGCCGCCGCCTCACCAAGATGGCTACCAACCAACAGCCATGGATTATCACCAAGAAGTTCATCCGCTGGCCAATCACATTTACCGTCATCAGTAAGCAAATCTTTTAAAAAAGAGAGCATGTTTTTGGAGATTGAAATAAAACGTAACTTTAAAAAAACAACGTCATTTTACAACTTGATTATCTTTTTTTCCTGACAAAACATTGATTATCTGGAACAGTCTACAAGAGGACACATTAGTCTGTCATTATCTTTTATCTAAAAAAATGTACAAAAGAAAACTTTATAGCAATTTGTAATGATCGCCTCATTCTATCTTGCTGTACGGGAACATGTTTTGTGTTTATTTTCCTTCGCATATTTATCGCCTCACAGGTTCCATGGCTCGTGGTTATATCTGGACCCTGGTCCTGCCTCCTACCATGGCCCTGCTGACACCCACTGCTACTATCATTATTATTATTAGTCACATTACTATGTCTATTAAAGATACCATTAACGCGTACATTACTGACTTTGCTTTTTCCCTGGAGTCTTTATGCTTTCTTGCCTCACAGCTTTCCGTGGATCATGGTTATATCTGGACTATGGTCTTGCCTCCTGCCGTGGTCCAAGTTGACACCCACTGCTACTGTCATTATTATGAGTACTTATAGTACATAGTATTACTATTGCCGATACCATTACTGCTTTGGTTATTATTATTATTCTACTATATCCACTTCTGCTGTTATATCCACTTCTATATCCACTTCTGCTGTTATTAGTAGTCGTAATCTTTCCATCATTATTCTGCTTACTCATTATATGAATCATATATATATGCATTTAATGTGTTGTAACTCTGTTATGTTGTTCATTCTGTACACATGACATCTATTGTACTTCTGTCCATCCTGGGAGACAAATCCCTTCTCTGTTGCTCTCTCTAAGGTTTCTTCCTTTTTTTCCTCCCCATTAAAGTTTTTTTTTGGGGGGGTGGAGTATTTCCTGTACCGATGTGAGGGTCCCGGGACAGAGGATGTCATATGTGCACAGATTGTAAAGCCTTCAGAGGGAAGTTTGTAATTTTGGGCTACACAAAATAAATTGAATTGAATTGAATTAAAGTGCTGTACTTGCAAGTGTTATCAGAGGCCTGCAATGTTAACATAGGTTATGAATAGGGTTTTTATTATTGTTACTATTATTTTTATTTTCTTTGCTCGTATAAAATGGAACAGGGGAGAAATGACGTGGCGGAGAGTATAGAGTGCTCAGACAGACAGATTATTATTGTGGATTATAAATCGTGAAACTTCACTGGACAACTGCAAGAAAGACCCACCAACTAAATGGACTGTGGTGAGATAGCGTGGGTTCACAGATTACGGAACAGCGGCGTTTCGCCAAGCTTCCAGCTGTTAATAATATTATTTTTGGCCTTGGGAATTTATTTACTATCGGACTATTTAAATTGAATTATGGATTTTTGGGACTGATGGGACTCTGGGTTTGGGGTTATAATTTGTGAATGTCAAGCTTGTTTATTGTGTTGGAGTATAAATGGTAGCCCCATGGCTTTTTGTTCGCTGTATGCCGACCAGGTCGGACATGAATTAATTTGATTTACATTACTATATGGTGTTAAATGCAACAAACGGTGTGTTTTTTGATTATATATGATTTTTTCTGACATAGTGAGAAAAAGGGAAAGCCTTTCAATATATTCGTAGCTTTCAGACATATTAGATTGTAGTTTCTGTCCACACCATGTATCAGATCCACCCATTTCCTTAATGCAGTGGCGGGCCGTCAGGGCCTGCAAGGCCTTCTCTGCTGGCCTAAACAGAATCACAAAGCTATATATATTTTAAAAAAAAAACTATTTTATAATTTAAGAATTTTTCTTAAATACACTACATGTATTATAATTTATAAAAATATTTTTCCCATTATCTTATTTTCTCATTGCACAGCTACTGTCTTCCTCAGTTGCTCTGCTTCCAGTGCAACTTGTTTTAAGTAGAGCTTTCATCCAATCAGATTTCACCTCTGTGTCTCCAGGTAAGAAGACAGGCCCAGGCCTGCAGAGTCTCACCTGCAGCCAGTGCAGATTAAAGTAAATGGGGACGATATTGTTGATTGTCATAGTATTCAACCAATCAGATCTTTAGTTTGACATGTTGGGCGTATTCTTTGACTATCAGAGCCTGCGCGCCGGCCTATAATGACGTCAGCATTACATGCCGCCAGTGTCTGTGTGTAGCTTTCCCGCGAGGTGCTGTGCTGTGATTGGTCAGTGGGCGAGCACGTGACTATCGTGAAACGAAACTTAACAGCCAGCAGAGGCTGATGGGTAGTGAATCACATCACGTGATGCAGCTCAGCCAATCAAAATGCATTCTGACTGAGTGAGATGCACCATGATAGAGGAACCTGAGCCGAGGAAAGACATTGCAGAGCAGTACGTTCAACGCTCATGTTGTGAAAGTGAAATCCAATGTTAATCTCTTTGGGTCGCGGCTTGTCATTAAGCAATGACTGTGGCTCCCACAGCCAGACCAGCTGAGAACATTATATTTTCCTGAATTTAGGCTTTTGCATTTTCTAAATGCTCTAGCATTATTCAGACAACTCGTACCGAACGGTTTAATATTAAGATGTACATAGTTACAGCTTTAAAAATGAATAACAGCTGTGGCGCCAAAATGTGGTTATAAGGTGGTATTTCAGCTGCAGGACAGCAGTGAAGGCCCAGGTATAAAATGCACGTCCACCACTGCCTTAATGTAGGTATTTCTTCCCCTTGGGTTTTCGAAGTAAAAGTAAAGGTTCAATTATTTTTCCCTCGATAACTATCTTTATTAAATTTACTTTACTAAAAGCCCAGTGATAAGGTGATCTCTCCCAGCTACCTCTAATCCAAACTTGTAGAAGGTGTAGTTGAGCAGGTACTTGAAGCAGGGTATGAGGCCCTGGTGTAAAGTGTCCCTGGTGGCAGCAGGGAACAGAGCAAGGATGGTGGGGGGAGATCGTTGGAGCTGACGGTAGTGGTGAGACTGGTGACGATACACTGTCGCCTCAAACACCAACAACATCAGCACTATTAAATGATTCTGAAAAAAAAAACATTCATGACACTAGTTAAATTATGACTTCAGTCATTTACTGGAAAAGCAGACCCAACACACAAAAGAAATGAACATTAACATGACTGAAGTCAATTCTCTCTCTCTCTCTCTCTCTCTCTATATATATATATATATATCTATGTTTTTTTCTCATCAATTTGGTTTCGGTACTAAAACTTGGGCATAATATTCAAAGTTTTAGACAAAATATACAGCCCAAATCTTTTCACTTCATAAATCTGATAAAGTAGCATTCTAACTAGAGCCATACCATTCACTGAGGAAACATATATGAATTTACCTTGCTGTATCCCAGTACTGTGGCATCTTTCCTGATGCCAAACCATTTGGCTGGGTCTACTGGCTCCTTATACAGAGAGGAGTTTATCATCTCTTCTGTTAGCAGGTTGGTTTCATTTGTTAAAGGCTGTGAGGGGAAAAAAAGAAAGAAACAAAATCATAAGTGGGACTCTGCTGTTCTAGCGAAGAAGCAGTAAGGGTCCATGGTCATTGTCCTGAAAGAGCACTGCTGCCTCTTTAGTTCCATTCTCTTTTTTATTGCTTTACTTTTTATTTTAACACAAACTGTGTGTTGGGAAACCTTGGGATTTGCTGCCTTTGAAAAGTTGAACAATGCTACAGTCTTGGCAATACTCATCAGCCATGACTGAGGGGTTACTGAATCTATTTTGTAATGACAAAAAGGATAACAATATATTTGTGAGAGGCTTAAGACTAGGTGTTGATCAGTACAAGTGACAGAAACACTCCTCAGGTGCTGATAGTTCTGATTTCAAATCTGACTTTCCTGCCAAAACTCATAAACACATACTTGCATTTCCAAATGCTCAGCAACAGAAGATGCTGCGTCATAATACAATGCTGCTGCAAAGGTAAAAACCCTTGATCTAAAGCAATAGCAACGCATACTGGTCTCAAATATAGATCATTGCAGCTGAGGGGATAATGTATGGGGATAAAGCATAAGCCTTAAAAAGGTATACTATGCAGCATTTTCCTAAAAAACTATAGACTCGTACAAAAATAATCCCTCTCAATCATCTCAAGCCCACCAGCGTGTGGCTGTGTCTGTATCTGCAGAAACCCTGCTCCCTGCCTACGTATTCAATTTTAAATGATGATTCAGTAATTGACGATACAAAATCTCGGAGAAAACTGCATGCGGGTGGGTGCCGGTGTAAACAGGAAGTAGATTAGTTGCTCAAAGCCGCTAACGTGACTTCAGATGGCCGCTCCGTAGGTCTCATAACGCTGCTGGTAACGCTGCTCGCTAATCGCTCCAATAACAGCTGCTTCCTCCGGAGAAATGCAAACTTTAACTGGACAGCTGCTAGTAAAGACAACAAAGTCAGTAATACCTGACCCTAAATAAAAATGTTTTAATATCTTGTCGATTAAAATGTGCTACCCTATTACGCCTGTCAAGAGCCTATCCCTGCAGGTGGCTAATCATGATTTTCAGACCCCCGCCCTCAGCAAACTATCAATGGATAAATCCCAAAAAAGAAAAGTCAGGGAGGAAAATAGAGAGTTTAATTCTGCGTGGACGTATTCATTTGCTTTCACTGCCAACGATGCTGGTTTACCTGTATGCTTGGTATGTGCAACAAATGTAATGTTGAAAGTCACTTCCAGAACAAACACACAGCATATGGTGATAAGTATCACGCTGGAGATGAGCGAAAAAGAGTGATTTCTCAACTGCTGCAGCAAACTGAGCAAGTTTTTTTCTCCTCTTCATAAGAGTTTGATATTGTTATAACAGGTAAAATTGCAATAAAATGTCAAGAATTGTCTTTATTCTTCTTCATAAATACAACAAACTATAGTTTTTGTATATATAATATAACTATATATAAAACTTTATAAGCTGTGATATCAAATTGCTTTTGCGGCTCCAGACAAATTTTATTTGGTGGAAAATAGGGCAAAGTGGCTCTTTGGATAGTAAAGGTTGCCGACCCCTGCTCTAGAGCAATAGAACGAGGCACTGAAGTTATATTTATCTGGATACCGGCACATGTAGGTATCAGAGGAAATTAAAAAGTGGACAAACTAGCCAAACAAGCACTAAAGAAAAACAAAGTAGACATATGTATCAAATTATCCAAAGCAGAGGGAAAGGCCATCATCAGGAAAAATATCAACAAAGTATGGCAACAACATTGGGACCAGGAGACGAGGGGGATTCAATTCAGAGTAAATTGAGCAGCGTAAGATACAGGGGAGGAAACAGGAGAGAAGAGGTTAGAATATCATGATTAAGAATAGGGCACATCAACCTACGCAGCACACTACACATGATAGGGAAACATCCAACCAGTCTCTGTGAGCACTGCCAGGCACCAGAAACTGTACAACATGTTATCACCACCTGTATTAGACATAGTTCAAAAAGGAGGGGCATGCTGGGAGAAAAACAAAGATTAGGGATGAGAGGAAGAGAGCTGAATAATATACGAGAGTGGGGATCTAGTAATGTGGGAAGAAGGTGCTTTATTTATTGTTTGTGTATGTCATTTTATGTATTTGTCTCTCTGGACCCTGAGTCTGAAACAAAGTCTATCCATCTATCTATCTATACATTTTTTGCGAGCAACGGGACTGATGGGGAAAGTTTAATAGTTGGGAACATAGAAACTGAATGAAACCGTAAGATGGCAGTAATGCAACAAAAAGGATGCAAGCTGCCGTTAAACACCACAGAAGAAGAGGCAGGACTTAAGACAGCTGCAGGAGGAAAGGAGATGAGAGAGAGCACACGGCGTGAAGGAGCTCCGAGACCTACATGGAGTAAAGTTCCGAACCAGAGGGAGGAGGATTTGAACTGAAGAAGACCTGGTTGTCGGAGAAAAACCGAGGACATTCTAAATTGAGTTTTGTCTAACATAGTTCTGCTTAACAAACTATTATCTCCGCTGGGACGCTTTTTCTTTGTTTGTTTTTGATTTTTGCTAAAGAGACTTTCCTAAGTGGCCTAGCCGAATCAGAAAAAAAACGTGATCTTATTCTGAGAACCTTTTGACTTTGTCTGTTTTTGTTAGTTTCCCTTGCACCACCCCACCCTAGCCGGCCCTAGTGACCTCTCATGACATTACAGATGGTGGAGAATGTAGGCACTGGGGCTTAAGTGCTGATGATTGGGACGGAAGATATTGAAGCTTTGACTCAGTTTTTTGCAGAACTTAACACAAACGACCACCCAACCCAAATGGAGCAACTGGTGCAGATGCTGGTGGAGAGCTAGAGGGCCCAGCAGGAAATCGGGGCAGCCTGGTTGCAACAGCAAATAAAGGCCAACCAACTGAAGGAGCAGGAGCTTCAACAGTTACCCAGGCCAAAACAAAGCCGCTGACTTCATCCCGAAACTGGGAGAGACTGACAATGTGGAAGCTTACCTTCATGCGTTTGAAGCTACAGCCACTCGGGAGGAGTGGCCAAAGACACAGTGGGTTGGACTCCTGGCTCCTTTTCTATCGGGTGAGGCACTTAAAGCTTATCAAGATGTAGAGGCCAGTATTGAGCAAGAATATGACCAGTTAAAGGGAGCGATGGTTTGACTAAATTTAGCATGGCTCAACAGTTCCATAACTGGACCTTCCAAAATGGAGTAACTCCACGTTCCCAAATGCATGAATTGATACGAGTGACGAAAAGGTGGCTGGAACCAGACAAGAGCAGCCCCACAGACATTATAGAGACTCTCGTTATGGACCGTTATCTAAGAGCTTTTTATGAAGCTAAAAAAGTAATCAGTCACAAAAAATGATCAACTGCCTCAGAGTTGGTGGAAGCAGTGGAGCAGTTCCAGGCGGCCTCAGACATGCTCCGCCCTACCCGTAAAGAGCCTATCACTTCTGTCCCCGCACGACCAGGTGTGCCTCACCAAAAAGGTCCTAAACCAGCCAACCCTCACTCTGGCCCACCCCATAGAATCGTTAATCCACCTAGGCAGCAACGAGGATTCCTGAACCCTAAGGCACACCAGTGCTATCGCTGTGGCAAAGTGGGCCATATCTCATGGCAATGTGAAAAGCCCGATGAGCCAATGCCCACAGCAGAGTCTGCTAGCAGCCCACATGTCCACTTTGCTGCCCTCCTGGGGGAACGGGGAGACCGCAGACCAACCTGCCCAGTAATAGTGAATCAACGTGATGTAGAAGCCTTGCTCAATTCTGGAAGTGCCCGGACCCTGATCCATGAATCGGTGTTGGAGGCATCGGCCCCTGCTCACGGAGACCCAGTTCCAGTAGTTTGTGTCCATGGAGACACCCATGTGTACCCAACCACGGTTGTAAAGCTGACAACCACTAAGGGCACGTTTACTCTTGAGGTGGGAGTAATCAAGACACTTCCAGTTCCCGTCCTGATAGGTCGGGACTGCCCGGCCTTCCAAATGCTGTGGAGGGAAGCCCAAACGAGGCTCAGGCAGGAACCCCGAAAACGTAAGCAAAAAAATAATGAAATAAATAAATCTTGTGTTAATGTTGCAGAACCATGCCCCCCCTCACCAGGGATAGTCCAAGCCTTGGCAGGAGACTCTAGTGGCACGGAGTCGACACCGGGGGACACGGAGGACCCAGAGCCTCAACCTGGGCCAAGTGAAGGTGACGATGTTGGCCCTCTGGAACAGCCACCGCTGAAAGGGCAGTATGGAACAGCTCAGTTACAGGACCCAACCCTTGGTAATGCATTAAGAAATGTCCAGGTCCTAGAGGGAGCTGTGGTGGGAACCAGGTTAACTCCTTCATACCCTCACTTTGCAGTGAAAAATGGCCTCTTATATCAGGTAGTGAAAGCTAATGAGACAGTCATGGAGCAACTCCTCGTTCCCAACCTCATTGATCCACAGTTCTGCAGTTAGCGCACACCCACTTGCTAGGAGCTCACTTGGGGGTAGAGAAAAGGAACGAGTATTTTCCGACTTCATTGAACTTACAGCGCATAGGCTTGTAAAGCTGTTTCCGACTTTAAATAGTACCGTGATGTCAGCAATACTGCACAAAAACCTGAAGAAATGAAGAAAGCTTGCTAGAAATACTTTGCATTCAATTTGTGCACCACTATGTCCACCTCACACATGTACTGTATATATGCACATCAAAATTCTCCCCCTTTTTAAAGTTATTGTTGCAACTTCAATGTCATTTATTGATAGTCATTATTGTAGTCATATCTGTCTGTCCGTCCGTCTGTCATCCTTCAGGAGAGTATGTTGGTAGTACTGTAATGACTAACACAAACATAACATCATGCCTGTTGGAACATACATTGTTGATGCAGAATGTGTGTGCATGTGTGTCTTACCAGGCTACAGTTACTGGAGTACTCAACAGGGTTGACAACACTGAGCTGGTACAACATCTTACACACGATGATGACACACACCCAGGCTGTTGACAGACAGGAAGCCATGGGCCCGAAGCGACTGTAGGGCATCGCCAGAGACCACAACACCACCAAGACCAGGTTCATCACAGATGGCTGCAAAGAAACAGGATAAGATTCAGATCATAATGCAGCCTTTCATAATTTAATGTTTTAGAGCTTTACGTCAAGTATCATATATGTGCAAATCATTCATCTCTCAGACTAAATCCAAAACAAGCTGTTCTGAACATGGATGTTCAGAACATTTTGATACTGATTTGATGCTGTGCTCCAAAATAGTGCCCCATTCATCTAGCACATTTGCCAAAAACGTTCTTCAGATTTCTTCAGTTTTGGGCCTACAGCACATACACATTAGGATTATTCTGTGGGTGGCCCCTTTCAGACTCATGGCTGGCTTAATGGTTGTGTTATAAATGTTGGATGATACCTTGTTGAATGCAGCAGCCTAAAATACGTATTTTCTGTTTACTGGTCAGTCCACTGCTAAGTTAACATTCTGGATGGATGGATGGATGGGTGGATGGATAGGCAGACAGACAGAGAGACAGACAGATTACCTCTTCAAGTGAAACCCACACAGAGAAGAAGGCCACCATCTTGAAGATGTGGAGCTCCAGAAGCCTCCAGAGAAACACTTGAACTTTAGTGAGATTGTCAGAGAACCTTCTGGACAGAACCAACAACCTGTCCATCACCAGACCCCACTTACTGGGCATCAACTCCACTGAGCAAGGGAAGAGAAGGGATGGATGAACAAGAGTGAGAGGTTGAGGGGAGAAAAAGAAAACAAAATTGAGAAGTGTACTCACAAAGAAATACAAGATTATCAAAAGTCAACAAATAAATGTTTTAACAAGGAAAAACACTTATGTAAACCTCACTTCTTGATCAAAATTCATATTGCTAGCAACACTTTAGCAGAAGTGTCCAATACACACCAAATCCATCACAGCAATCACTGTTCTCAACCAGCTGTCATTTTGATTTATCAATTATTTTCTTTTGTCTTCTATAACTGCTTTGGCTGACTGGGGTCATAAACTAAATCAGAAACAAAGGCTTTAACAATAAGTTAAAATCAGTGGTGAAATAACCAAATTCATTAAACCAAACTAAGATTAGACCGACCAAAACAACCAAGACATGTGGCGGTTGAAAACTGTTTCGTCGTGGAGTCTTCCTGTGATCACCAATTTGCAGCGAAACTGCCTTCAATAATAGCTTCCAGAGATGTGAAGTAAGGTGATGCTGTGCACTGGTTTAGCACCAAAAATTACCACTAGGTGCTGCTATACTATTTATTTTGAGGTATAAATCAAGTCATTATTGATAGTCATATCTGTCTGTTCGTCCGTCTGTCCGTTTGTCCGTCCGACATCCTCCAGGAGAGTATGTTGATATTACTGTAATGGCTAATACAAACATAACATCATGCCTGTTGGAACATATATTGTTGATGCAGAATGGGTGTGCATGTGTCTTACCAGGCTATCGTTCCTGGAGTAACAAAGCTTTATATGACTACAGAGTAGCTGGAAGACTCAAAGAGAAACTGGGGGTCATCACTATTATTTTAGATATAGTCAAAATACGAAATATATAGAAAGGCCACTCAGCACTGCATTTGTCTAATCATGCAAATATCCATGCAATGCTGCAAAAAATAATTGTAATTATAAATATATGAGAACAATATAATTACTAACTTGTGTGTCCATAAGTAAAAACTGAATTGTAAAATGTGTTTTTAATATAAACTGCCACTGTTGTTTTTTTACCTTCGTCTTCAGATTCCTCATCAATGTTAGTCACCACGTCTTCCTCTTCAAAGTTCATTCCCACATTACCAGAGTCAATCTGCTCAGTCCTCTCACTGTGTTTCTTCCTGGAGGCAGATTGTCTCATTAGTTCTTGCAAAAGGAAAATGTAGAATTCTTAGGTGACACATGATAATAGGAAACACCACCACAAAAAGCAGATGTTTGAATATAGATATTCATCTGTGGCTGTAAGCAGAAATATAGTGACTACATTCCAGTCTAACATGTTGGTCGTGAAAAGAGAAACGTTATGAGACTGGACCATTCTGTTAATTTTCCGAGACTTTAATTCATGATAGGATATATATATATTTTTTAATTAAATACAATGTTTGTGTGTCAAAACATTCCTTTGAAAAATGTATACAGTATATTTATATAAAAAAATCAGTACATAATTCAATACAAACATTTTTAAGTGTTAAGCTATAATGTAGTGATCATTTCTGTATGTCATTCAACTAATGGTGTGAAATTTTATCTTATACTAGAATGAAAATAGCTTGAAACATTTTTCTCGGGAAACATGATCAGGTATTTGTGGGTTCATTCACTAGTTTCATATTTGTATTGTTTTTAATGACTTGGAGAGACTTTGACTGATCTGCAGCATGGTCAGTTGTTCTTTTGGCATCTCTCATTCTCTTTTAATTTCCATAGATGGAGCACTATCAATACAGGACCCTGTTTACTTCTAAGACACATGAAATAGAACAAAAAATATTTTCCGTATTCTGTGTAATTGTTCATTTATCTGAAATATATATATTCTCTACAGTATTTTTATACAGAAAGTCCTCCCTTTTATCTTCTTGTAAAACATTATGATAGTTTTGATGACTCATCTTCAATACAGGGGCAAATATAGTCCAGTCAAATGTGAATTGGAGTGACTAGTTAACCCTGCACATGATGTAAAACTCAACTTAAATGTTAGTTTGTGGGTTGTAGTGGGTAGCAGAATGATATCATAAGAGGACGTGTTGTGTTTGGATTTTAGCTAGCAATAACTATGAAGAATGTGTTGGTTGTCGGATTTATTCATTTATCCTTTGTCCTTCTACTGATCTAATTAAAATCTCTCACCAGATGTGATTCAAATCCAACTTGTAACTAAACGCCCACCAAGATATTTGGTGTCATTCAGGAATAAGTCACACGCCAGATGGCACAGTAGAGACATTCATACTTCCAATTCACTGTGGCTTTCAATAATGTGCTAAGACATAAGTACTAGGAGTAAGAAGTTTGTGTTACTTGTGTATCGGTGTAACATGCTCCAGGTCAGTGATTCTCATGAAGGGCTTGTGGAAGTAGTGCAGCTGCAGAATACATGCCAACAGGAAGAAGCCAGGGATCAGAATACTGCTAAAGAGTTCAGACAGAGCAAACGTCTCCAGACCAATTGCTGCCAACCTGAGGAGGACAGAAGAGCACGATTACAAAGGTACATGGTAAATGGAGTTGCATTTATATAGCGTCTTTCCAGTCTTCCGACCACTCAAAGTGCTGTACACTACATGTCAACATTCACCCATCAATACACATATTCATACACTGATGACAGAGCCACAGCCCCCCAGTTTCAGTTTTAAACTTCCATCTTTCCTTTTGCTACATTACTGTGTTTTGTTGCACATAAAATCTGGACTCAGGTAGTGAAACTGTACATGTTGCTCACAGAGTGGAAGGAACACGGGGTTAATAAGGACCCAACAGTATATTTTTGAGACAAAGATAAACTGTTGGGACAACCAGCCTAATTACCTCCATCTGCTTTGTAGTTATGCTTGGGATGTTTTGGGGTGTGTGGGCTATGAATAAAATAGCCCTTTAGGCAGGGATAATGTTTAAATATTATAACGTTCTATTTAATCTAGAAATCACATACTACAAACTAATGATAACAGAACCAGTCTACTGCTGAAATAGAAGCAGACACAGAGAAGTATCAGCAGGGGACATGAAGAGAGAATGTAAAAGAACATACTGCTCTTCAGTAAAACCAGTAAAGTTTCTCCAGTATCCAGGGAAGTCTTCAAACTGGTAAGTGTAGATGGATATCAGCACCAGCATAGTGTAGGCTACAACAAGCCACCAGAAGAGCTTCAACAGACGTCTCCACAGAGAATAGTACACCTTGGAAATAGGATCTTAATCACTTAATACACGAGGAATTAACATGTATTTCTAAATATGTGCAAATAACAACAACCGTTTGAAGAGTGTTTACAACAAAATTGTCAAAACTCAACTTGTGGTCAAAAACCAAGAAACACAAAGGAAATAGCAAAATACTAAGGGTTCCACTCAAACATTGTTCTGAAGTGAGAATTCTGTTTATAAAACATAAAATATCTGATGAGATATCTAAATTAACCTTGAATTGTTCCTACCTGATAGAGACAGAGGCAGATTAGGAACAGCAGCATGTAGATGATTTTGTATCCAACAAGTTTTCCAGCAAAGGAGACCATGATGAACATCCCTCCACACACATAGATCCAGTATTTGGCATAACAGCTCATCACCATGCCTCCTAAAACCTTCAGCACTGACTCATTACCAGCCCCCTCTTGACAAGGATGAGGGGATAGAGAGGAGGGAAAGGAAGAGGAGTAAGATGTTGATGGTAAAATGTAAAATGAAAAGTCATCAGAAAGATACTGTGCATGGTAAGAAGAACTGTAAAACAGGGTTAAACAAACATGTGTCATGCTCTGCAGACTAGGAACACATTTCATCACTAGAAAGTTTGTGTTTGTGAACAAAGCTGAAGATTTTACCTGATGGTGGCACTAAAAAAGAGTTTAACGAGTTGTAGAAAAGTTAATCATCTGAAGAGGATGAAAAGAACGCTTGTGAAAGGACGTGGTCTTGAGGATGCTGATGTTCACCGCAAAGCAAATTGTTGCTGAAGGATTTCACATTGGTGTCTACAAGATTTTATTTAGTTTGGTATTGAACTTTTACTTAAACATTAAATACTGATGATATTTGTTACATTTTAAATTATACTTCTAAAATAAATTTTTATAATCTCAAGACAATGGAGGTGAATGTCAATAGTTTAGTATTGTCAAAAGTTTTCAGAGTAGTTTGGTTTTTTTCAATGAAAAATGAATGTTATGTGGATTATATAAAAAGCAATTGGTGCACATGTTTTAATGGCTAGAAAACAGAAACGTTGTTTTGTGTGTGTGTCTGTGTGTGTCTGTGTGTGTGTGTGTGTGTGTGTGTAAATTTGGGTATATTGACACTTAATGATTTTCTGTAAACCCAATCAGAAACTCTCTATGGGCTGTATTGTATACATGCTGTATGAGTGTTTTATCATCAAGGAACAGGGATGTGTGTGTGTGTGTGTGTGTGTGTGTGTGTGTGTGTGTGTGTGTGT